TGGGGGAGAAAAATATGTATTAGGGGGAAACTGTTATTTATTGTGGAGTGTATGGAGAATATTGGGTCGAGTATCTTGTTTATTTAATGTATAGTGAATGAATGACTGAATGAAGGGCAGTGAATGAATGACTGAATGAAGGGCAGTGAATGAAGGGCAGTGAATGAATGACTGAATGAAGGGCAGTGAATGAATGACTGAATGAAGGGCAGTGAATGAATGACTGAATGAAGGGCAGTGAATGAACGACTGAATGAAGGGCAGTGAATGAATGACTGAATGAAGGGCAGTGAATGAATGACTGAATGAAGGGCAGTGAATGAATGACTGAATGAAGGGCAGTGAATGAATGACTGACAATGAATGAATGAATGAATGACAGTGAATGAATTAATGACAGCGAATGAATGACAGTGAATGAAGGACAATGAATGAATGAATGAATGACAGTGAATGAATTAATGACAGCTAATGAATGACAGTGAATTAATTATTGCTAAAGAATAACAGTGAATGAATGACAGTGAATGAATTAATGGCAGCTAAAGAATGACAATGATAAAAGGACAGTGAATGAATGGCAGCTGAAGAATAACAGTGAATAAATGAATGACACAATGAATGAATGAATGAAGGTAGAGTGTGTGTGGTTAACTTCTACCATCCTGCAACATTGTTAAAAGAGTCTCTGCAAGATTGACTATAACAGTGCAGGGAAAAATATAGTTTAAGAGATATGTAAGGGAAAAAATGTAAAAATGTAGGACAAAATAAACACGAAAGAGTTTTGTAGGGAAAAAAGTGTTGCTGGAGATGTACGGTTGAGGAAAAAAAGTTTCCGAATGTTTGTTAAGAAAATATGTCTAGGAGAACGAGCAGGAGGCCGGATAAGTATATGTATGTATATATGTATGCATGTCAAATCATATATACAGTACATCTAGACGTTATACCAAATATATACCTGTATATATATTACTTTTTTATGTAACTATTTGTTCTATACTTAACAACCCGCCCACTCGTGTCGCCCAAAACAGGACCCCTTGTCGCCCACGCCCGTTAAGATGTCCCCGTTGGCGCAACAGAAGGAACGGGTAAGGTGACGCCGTTTTTCTCCGACCATCCAGATTCTCAAAGATTCTTACGTTAAATTTTTTTCTCCTAAGTTGTGACGTTAAAATGTACTGGTTGATGTAACATGTTGAAATGACATCATAAACTGGAATGAAAATTAACCCTGAGACTCTACCTTAACTAGATACGTTCACTTAGCACCACTTAGGAGACAAAATTAATGTACAAAATCTATGTAAATCCGGATTCAGACTGGGTTCATGTTAATTATCTTATAAAAACTCTGCTTGTGGAAACTTACTCTGTTGTTGTTATTGTTATATGTATGAATGTCCATAGTGGTATACATGAATAGGAAATTTATTCTCATTTTAAGTTACGTATATATATATATATATATATATATATATATATATATATATATATATATATATATATATATATATTCATGATTTTTATTTAGTATTTTTAAGTTTGTATATATTTTTGTATTCGTTTTAGAAATGTAATGTATAACTGTTTGTTTTTTTAAGTTTACATTTTACGTTAGTAACACGCCAGTAACACGTCAGTAACACGTCAGTAACACGCCAGTATCACGTCAGTAACACGCCAGTAACACGTCAGTAACACGCCAGTAACACGTCTCATAGTGATAATAATTAATTCACCTATATTGAAATTAACCCTTTCAGTACGATGACTTAACCCCTTGAGTACGACGACTTGACCCCATGAGTACGACGACTTAATCCCTTGAGTACTGTCATAATCCCTTGAGTACGATGACTTAACCTACCAGTAGTCTTTTTGCAACACACTTAGATACTTATAAAAAAATAATTATAATACCACTTAAATTTAAATACATTTTGTATGCTTACAAATATGTGGTGATATTATAGTTATTATTAAGATGATGATTGATGATGATGATGATGATGATGATGATGACGATGATGATGATGATGATGATGATGATGATGATGATGATTGATGATGATGCCCGTCTAACATACTTACAAGTTAAAGGATTATATTTAACTACTTATTTTAGTAATCATAAACATTAAACTTATATTAAATGGAATATTACTAGTTATAACTAATTTCATATATGGTTGAAAATACGTTACAATAGAATAAATGAATTTATAAAACAATATTAATGTAAATATGCTAATAATAACATATAATGATAACAACAATAATGATAACAACAATAACATGAGCACAAGCATCACTATACAATACGTTCATTAATGAGGTAATAACAGGAGTGAGCCATTAAGACGTGTGTGTATGTATGGTAATTAGTGTTAAGTATAGGTTAATGAGGAAGGGCTAATGAGGTGATGTATGTCTCTGTCTTCACTATAGGACCCGTCTTCGCCCACTCCAGTGAGATTGTTTTTACAGAGGGTAAGTGAGTGTTGCGTTAGCCCTCCCTCCCTCCTTCCCTCCCTTTGTGCCTTCTTTCCTCCCTCCCTCCTTCCTTCCTTCCTTCCTTCCTTCCTTCCTTCCTTCCTTCCTTCCTTTCACTCTCTTGTCCCTTCCTTCTTTCCACACTCTCTCTCTCTAGTCAATTCTCCTTCCTCCAATTTCTTTAATCTCTATCTCTCCTCCCTCAACCCCTCTTCTCTGCCTCCTCCCATTGGTTTGCGAGTATACGAATGCCTGATCGTATGACCCCCATTAGCTTATTGCCTGTGATTGGTTAAGAACAACTCAATGTTGCCTGTGATTGGTTAAAAAAAATCATTATTGCCTGTGATTAGTTTAAAAACTCATTATTGCCTGTGATTGGTTAAGAAAAACTCGATATTGCCTGTGGTTGGTTAAAAGAACTCGATATTGCCTGTTATTGGTTAAAAAACTCAATATTGCCTGTGATTGGTCAAGAAAACTCAATATTGCCTGTGATTGGTTAAAAGAACTCGATATTGCCTGTGATTGGTTATAAGAACTCAATATTGCCTGTGACTGGTTAAGAAGAACTCAATATTGCCTGTGATTGGTCAAGATTAACTCAGTATTGCCTGTGATTGGACAAATACAGAAAAATCCCCCCCACTGAACGTATTAACCTTTATGTTTTTGTCTATTTGGAGGGAAAAAACTAAAAATCTTGACCTGGCCAAAAAAAGAAGACTACAGCTTTTGTGTACAGTAAAACAGTCTTGTATCTTGTTCGTAGGTTGAAATAATATCCTCTGTCTGTTTGTAAGTCGAAAATTGCCCCTCTTTGTGTTCGTAGGTCGATAATAATACATCTGTTTGTTCATTAGTCGATACATGTTCTTCTGTATGTTCGTAGGTCGATAATAATACATTTGTTTGTTCATTAGTCGATACATGTTCTTCTGTATGTTCGTAGGTCGATAATAATACATTTGTTTGTTCATTAGTCGATACATGTTCTTCTGTATGTTCGTAGGTCGATAATAATACATTTGTTTGTTCATTAGTCGATACATGTTCTTCTGTATGTTCGTAGGTCGATAATAATACATTTGTTTGTTCATTAGTCGATACATGTTCTTCTGTATGTTCGTAGGTCGATAATAATACATTTGTTTGTTCATTAGTCGATACATGTTCTTCTGTATGTTCGTAGGTCGATAATAATACATTTGTGTGTTCGTTGGTTGTATACATGTTCTTCTGTGTGTCAATATTTGCACCTTTGTATTTGCGCAAATCGACAGTTTTATCTCTGTGTTCGTATGTCCATAAGAGAACCTCCTCCGTTGACTGATTCACGCACTTTTTTCACTTGTCCAAGATAGTGTAATGAAAATCTAAATTAATTGTCGTTTTAAGACATAAAACATTATGTAATTAATTAAAACTGTTTGGCTTGTCTTGTTACTAATGTTTGCTATGGTTTAGTTTTATATGTTTGTCCATTAACAAGAATTTTGGTGTTGTTTTTTTAGTTGAAATTGTTTTATGAATATTTTACTGCTTATGTATACATAGTCCTTTTTATTCCCATTAGATGATTTTTTTATTCTAAATTTGACGTCTATTCGGTTTTTTTTGGTAGAATTTGCTTTGATTGTTGTTGCTAATGGTTAAAAAAATATTTTGGATTTTATGTACAGTTTTTTATTATTATTATTATTATTATTATTATTATTATTATTATTATTATTATTTTACAAGTAGAAACTGAATGCTGCATGGTAATATAATTTTAATATTTATATTTTAATCTAAAAATACAGTACAGTAGTGTAATTTTTTATGAAAGTAATTTTCTAGATATTGGATACATTTAAAGATGTCTTAATGGATTCTTGTTGTTTGTGTTTTTTTTTTTTTTAGTTTTAGTCTATTTTTTTCTCTTTTGGTCTAATATATTATAAGTAATGTTTATTATTTTCCATACAGATGACATATGTTTATTTTATTTGCCATAGACTCTGTCCCATGATGTGTGACTTGACTCACCCAGTAGGACATCTGTATTACCTACGTATATAGTCTCAACGTAAACATTTCACTAAATTTGGAATTAGAAACTTCTAGTCAAATTTCACAATGCAGTATCTTGAAATATCTGCTTGAAGTTCGCAAAAGCTTGAAATATCTGCTTGAAGTTCACAAAACCTTGAAATTTCTACTTCAAGTCCTTAGTTGCAGAAAAATTCGAAATACAGTATTCCAAAATTTGGCGCAAAATTACAAAAGCTGTCGTAAAATTTCACAAAATGAGAAATTCTACTCAAAATTAGCAACGTTACGAAAATTCTGCCCAAAATCCGTGATCTGGTACTTGTTGCTGATAACTCTACGGTACTATACACCCAGGATTCATTTGCATATTAACCCATCAGCTAAAGCACATTACATATTTTAGAGTTGAAATTATGATAACTTTGGGTAGGCTGAAAGTTTGGGTTAAGTCGGACAGAATACAAACGACCTTATGTCAACTTATTCAAACATATATTTTCTTTCTATCCAAGAGGTCGAGTGGAACAACATATGACCCCTCTGTTGACCCGAGTCTTTTCCTTGTTTCTTTTAGGACACCAGGTCACCGAGTAATGTGAGACCTTCCCAGATTATCATGAGAGACAGGGGGGTGAGTGAGTCCATAGCCGCCCGCCACCCACTCCTCCCTCCCCTAAAGTTATAAGTTGAGGCGGCGTCGTGCATGGTGTAGTTCTTTACCCCGCGTGTTTTGATTTTTACCTTCCGCAACATTCTTCGTCATTACCCGCATTTTTTTTACCTTATTATCTGCAAGTTGCTCCTCAACTACCAAGGTTTTGTTTCACTATCCGCAAATATCACTTGACTTATCTATATTTTATCTCTCGCTATCTGTAAATTACCTCCTCGACTATACCCGCATTATGCACCTGACCAACCGCAAGTTTTTCCCCATTATACGTAAATTCATCCATCATCCACAGGTTAACTCGGTATCCATGTAAAGTCTTTCATCATTCGAATATTCCCCAAACTACCCCCCACACACCCCTCTCCCCCTCTCTATCTCTACCATGAACGCTTCACATTTACTGTACGGAATAACATTTTCAGCACCCCCAAGATCTCCCCCAAGGTGTGCGTCCTACGATATTTGCCACTCCGCTAATTCTTTTCATTATACAGTAATATCCTCATTGTATACTAGTCCTCTGTGTGTATATTTGTATGTGTATATATTTACTACTATCTCTTTGTGTGGTCTGTGTTGTATATTGGTTAGTATGTTTAGTTCACCCTCGCGACTATTGAATGCATCTTAAAGTATAACCCAGTCTGTTTACATTGTGCGAGTCGTTTATGTGTTTTCAGTGCTACCAGATGATGTGATTGTGTCCATTGTTTATATAAGGTAATAAGAATGACTTGATCTTATCGTCATTGATGGTGAAATATTAGTCTACGCTTCAGTCATCAGTGTAATAATCAGGACTTTGACAATCGAGAGGCGATCATGACTTTTGATCACCTGAGGACTGTCCCTACTATTACCTGGCTAAATTTAATTACGTGTGCCTCCTGATTACTACCCAAGTATCACCTTAAGATAGAATGATTTTAAAACCCCTGGATAGTAAAAGAGCTTAAGTGAAAGATAAAATAAGTTTCTTTATTGAATTTATAAATGGAATGCCTGACCCCGTGTTTCTTTGGTCTCCCTATCTTGTTGTTGGTTCCGTATGCCACTGAAACTGTCTTACTTGTTGACAGATCCATGTCCCACTGAATTTCCCAAGATACCCATTATTTCCCGATGTGAGTCTTCTTTAATTTTTACTTCATTCTTAGATACAGTTCATAATGTCTTTCCTTTAATGTGTATTTGGCGTTTATGCAGGTATTGTCAGCAGTACCACCATTTGGCTGATGTTAATTTGCTTGTACTGTTTTGTTGTCAGCAGTGTGCTATATTGTCAACAGTTTACATTGTTGTCAGCAGTTTATTAATTTTTCAGGGGACTTTTAAAATGCCCTTTTATGTACAGTCGCCTGCATTTACACCTGGTACAGTGACTGGCACGTTTTATGAGACGTGGCATCACTGTGGAATCCTTATCTAGCATCCTTAGTCTGGCTACTATTGCGAGGTTCCTCAGGGCCATTCTGGGAATTTTAATACTATGTAAACAAACAAACAAACAAATTAACACAGGGCTGCCACATCTCACAAAATGCACCAGCCATTGTACCAGGAGTAAGTGCAGGCGGTTGTACCTTCCCTCACCCTCTGTTCATGAGATGCTTAAAACTAACCCCCCATCTTTCTCCTCAATTATTGTTCCCATATCCCCTTTTGGGTGCCTTCCCCCTCACACCTTCCACCCTCCCTCCCCCCTCACCCTAATACAATATCTACTGCATATGACCAAAAACTAATGAGTGTTTTTTATCTCTCTTTCTCTCTCTCTCTTCTCACCCTCGCACATATGCACGCCCTCTCATCCTGCTTCTCCCACCTGTCCAGCAGCAAGAGCCATGGTCACCCACCTCCTCCCGGCCGTCTTCCCTCATCTTCAGTAACAAGGTGAGTCTCTCTTACACACTCATTCACTCCCTCACGGTTTACTCATCTCCATCGTCTCTGGCTTCACGGTAAATCATTAATAGTAAAAATATTCCTCAGTCGTTGATGGTAGTCCAGTGTTATCCATCTGTTATGTTATTGTTGTGTTGAGTTGTATGTTATGGTAAATGTTTCTTTCATTGGTTTATGTGTCAGCCACGGAAGGTACTGTACTGCATGTATATTGTGTCGTCTGGAATCTTAAAATCACTTAAATTTATCTTAAGACGGTAGTGTGTGTGTGTGTGTGTGTGTGTGTGTGTGTGTGTGTGTGTGTGTGTGTGTGCGTGCGTGTCTAGTGATGTGTTTCTGTATACCATTGTTTTGTTTCTTGATGTGGTGTTGTGTCTCCCTCA